CGCAGCCCTGGCCCGGGTCAGCACTTCCCCTCCCGCGGGCATAGACCCGGGCCGGGGTGGGCGCTGCTAGCTAGCATGGTGCAGTCAGAATTTGGTGACATGGCTTTTGTTTCATTGTTTCCTTTTAGTTAGTTTCCGTTTATGGTAGGTAAGTTCGGCTGTCCGCGGTGGAGATAGATTTGGGTGAAAATGACTTCATGTAAGGAACAGTCATCGAGTCCCACCGAAGCAGTGGTGTATGGGTGTGGGAAAGTGCGGAAATAGATGGGCAAGTCACTGAAGGTGGAGCATAACTTCTTTGCGCCCGAATTGGGCAGGAATGTTGAAGAACACCGTTGCCATGTCAAAGCTTTTCCTTCTGCCCGGAGTCCTTGAGTTCTGACAGCCAGAAACTTGCCTCCCACCAGCGTCTGGGTAACCAGACGCCACATCAGTGACCCGCAGTGACACGGTGCCATAGGACTGTGCTTGTCACATAACGTAAAGTTCTCGATTACTGTTGCAGCAGGGTTTTAAAACAGCTGTGTGCTTAGTGACCCCAAATGATTTTTGTATAGTATTTTTTAAAAAAATTATCTGCCATACAGCATTCTGTTCTTCATATATATGGTGTACTAGCCACTTCCCTCCTCCCACTTTTTTCATGTTGCATTTGCATTTTGGGTTAAGTGGATACTGTGCTGCTACATTAATGCCATCCCCCACGGAGTGCAAACTTTGCTCATAGTTTGCCTTGCCCCAAAGAAGGAGAACATTTGCCAAATAGACCTTTTCAACAATAGTTGAATGGGTGTGTGTTGGGGGGGGTGGGTGGGGGCGGGGAGGTGGTGGGGGGGAGCATTAGGTAATGCCCTGCCTCCTTTGCTGGCCATCATCTATTTTTATTTGTTTCACTCAGACTTACCTTATAGCCATTAGAGTTGTTGCAATGAAAACTTATAATCGCAGTTATGGACAACTGTACCTATAACCAGTACAATTCCACTTGGAAAGTTTACTTAAAAACTTTGTTTTACTGATTTATTTAGCATGAAAAAAGCAGTGTCGCTGATAAATGCAATAGATATAGGAAGATTTCCACGATTGCTCACCCGAATTCTTCAAAAACTGCACCTGAAGGTTTGTATGTTTGCATTTCTATAACTTACAATACTTTCTTGTGATTCCAGTGGAACTGTTTCTACTTAAAGAACTTTTTGCGAAGAATAATGGAAGAATAATGTTTCAAAGTGCGTCTTTGAGAACACCAGGTCTCTAGAAAAAAATTTTTTTTCCTGGTTAACATTTTTTTTCTAAAATCTTTATTGTTGAAAGTATTACATAGGTCCTTCTTTTCCCCCCATTAACCTCTTCCAGCCAGCGTCCGCCCTCCCTCCCCTCACAGGCCCTCACCGCCCTGTTGTCTATGGCCACTGGTTATGCATACATGCATACAAGTTCATTGGTTGATCTCTTCCCACCCACCCTCTGAGGTTCAAGTCTGTTGATGAAAATTTGATAATGTCCCATGGTCAAAAGTTTTGGAAGCTCTGTCTTCATTAACGTTAATTCTTTTTATTATGGAACTTTTCAGTATATATTATAGTGTTTATAGTAAATATTTAAGGCTGTGCACAATTTTCCAAATGTGTTTGGCCTTGGAACTGTTTTATGATAGCATATATTTTGGGACTAAGGTTCTGAGGAATATGCGTTGGGAAAATTCTGATTTTATGACTTAATTCTTCCTCTTAAAAATAATTCTGTGGTATTGCTGTCAGTCAGTATTTAATCTTTCATTTAATCTTTCACTTTTGTTTCAAGGGTGTGGTTATTTTTGACATATTGATGTTTAGTAATTCACTACTTGCTCACCAGTCTAAGTTAACTTTTTTATCAGGTTATAAAAAATTTAATTCCATCCATCACATGTTTATGGAGCACCACTAACTGTTCTCCCTGGTGCCAGGCATCCCTGTTAAACAAGAACTTGGACTCGTTCCTCTTTTTTTTTTTTTTTCCTGGCCAGGAGCCAGCCTCAAAGCCCTTCCTTCCTCTGAAGTGTCTCTCAAATCCAAGTTCTCCTTATAGTCCTAGTTCAGATTCTTATTATCTCTTCTGTGGATGCAATGATTACCTTCAAACTGCTATCTTGAGGCCTCTAGTCTAGAATTACTTCATAACACTATTTCATTTATCTTTCCAAATATTTTTTTTCCTAAAAAAGAATTGATTATATCAAAGCCATCAGTGATTTTCCATTGGCCATGGAAAAAAGTTCAAAATCCTTAACATTATATCATAATAATATATTATGGCCACAACCTGTATTCTCTCCACGTTGGAAGTGCTCCAGTCACACTGGACTGTGCTCTTTTACTAGAACTTGTGGTTGTGCATAACCTAAACTGTCAAGGCAGAGACTCATGGCAAGATCCGGATATTAAACTGTGCTGATTTTGAGAGCTTGAAATTTACAAATGCATAAGTTTTTTTTCTTTTTTACCATGGATTTACTCTTTCTTTTAATTTCTCACTCCATATATGACTGAATGAATCTTCCTTTGAGGATCTGAGTATTGAATACCTGAATGTGTGCTAGTAGATTGCTTTTTGTGTTGTAGGCTGAGAACAGTTTCAGTGAAGAAGAGGAAGAAAAACTTCAAGCTGCATTTTCTCTAGAGAAACAAGATCTTCACCTAGTTCTTGAAACAATATCATTCATTTTAGAACAGGTATTTTTATTGTTCTCAACAATTGGTGTCTGGTACATGTTTGTATTGCTATGATAGGGGTAACATTTTTTTTAAGTGTGCAAATGGAAGCTGTGAATATATTTTAATTAAGAATTTCAATGTAGTAAAAAAAAACATTTGAATGTATGATTTTCCCCCCACAGGGTATTGCATTTTGTAAAAAGAGTCTTAATGTTGAGTAGTGTAAGTGTTTGACAGTATGAATCAAGACTTTATTGACCTGAGACAGTTATAAAAGATTTTAATTCATTGTTACTTGTTATAATAATTTGGAAAAATGAACACACTTTATTTAAAAATTTTAACAAATGATTTTGGGGGATTTATTTGACTAAGATGGTAAATAAAACATTTAGGAAAGAAATATTTGTCAAAGGACTTTTAGTCATATTATTTCTTCCTACTGAGCTGCCCTTCTGCCTGCATCTCTTCTTACATCTCCTTTCATTGTACCCTTGACCCCTTATACTTGCACTCTTCCTCCTATTTAGGTTCCTTTTATCTTTATCTTATCATAGTAGACCACTTTGTTAGTTTTTCATTACTTCATGGGTGTCAGTGATATCTTCTTCACTAGGTTTTAAATTTGTGGGAGGCCAAGATCTTGTGCGCGTGCACGTAAAACTAGCACATTCCAGGGCTTAACATAGATTCTCTATAAATTCCTGTTGGTTGATTAAATAGAATACTTGTGGAATTAAATTTTAAATAGTACTGTAGCTTCATGAACATTCTAGTGACAGGTACTGTTAAAAGGACAAGCTACCAGGCCTCTACACATATAGCTTTATACAAATTACCGATCATAATGATGACTATCCTTGGTGGGCCTTCAGTAGATGAAAGGATAATCAAGTAAGACAGAGCATCAAGGGGCTTAAGAGAAAGTTGTTCCAGAATAATGTAGGTAATAGGACAGATATCACTGTTAAAATTTTTGCAATATTTTATTATATATTATCTAGGAAGTTGGGAGAGGGAGGGCAGTTTTGAGAAAGTGCTTCTTCGAAATTTTTGTTAGTTGGGAAGCAAAACCATTGTACTACTCTTTGAAATAATTAAGTGAAATAAGTAAATGACTTTTTTTCCTTTCATAATTGAGATTTCATTGGTTGTTTTGAGGATAAGTACACAGACATTTCAGTTTGTACGTAATTCTTAATATATATACCAAAAACCTAAAGTCATTAATTGTGATTCTTTTCTGAACAGTTATTCCAGTGACTTCCCAGCTTAAAATTTGAAGGCTAATTTTCCTTAATAGTCTATCAAGAACCAATATCTTCAAATGTTGATACATCAAAGTCCCACTCATTTACTGTTAAATGTCATATATACTACAGAATCAAATTTTCAATCTTTCATGGCACATTAACAAACTTAGTAGGAAAACTGGACTACCACACCAAAGATGTTAGAGCACACAAAATTCTGACAGGGAGGGCCAAGATCAAGAAGTGGTTTTCTTTAGGAAACAATTTTACCAGAAATGAAATTGAGAACAAAAGTAATTTAAAATGTTCAGGACATGGTAAATGTATGACTGACTTCAAATTGCCACTTTAATACGCTTTGTATCATAAAATAGAAAAACTACCCTCACCTATGGAATGTTAAGTTGACACCCAAGATAATCAAAGCCTCCCATATTTAATATACCACTATGTTTTGGTTGTATCAAAAAAAAAAAACAACCAGCAAATGATTTCACCTCTTAAAAAATCATTTACATTTTAAAAAATGGGATGAGGTCGAATTCCCTCATTCTTAAAAATGTTTCTAAAGCTACTAAAAAATGGGCGTTTACAAAATTGTTGGTAAAATTATTCTCTGGGTTGTACAAAAAGGGAGACCGATACCACTGATAAGACATGGTATATGATATTAATTAGACTTGGCTTCGTTTTCTCCTGCGTCATCTGAGTCTGGCCTGTCCTCATTTTTACTTTTTTTATTGTTGTTAATCCTTACCCGAGGATATTTTCCCATTGATTTTTAGAGAGAGTGGAATGGAGGGGGAGAGACAGAAAGAGGGAAACATCACTGTGAGAGAGACACATCAGTTGGTTGCCTCCTGCCTGCACTTGCCCCAACCAGAGCCAGGAATGGAGCCTACAATCAAGGTATGTGCCCTTGACCAGAATCGAACTTGGGACCCTTCACTTTGCTGGCCGACTTTCTATCCACTGAGCCAAACTGACTAGGGCTGTCCTCATTTTTAGTTTCTCCATTTTCCACTGGTAGTTCTTACTTAGGTTCCTGGTTAGCCGTTTTTATCTGTTTGCCCTTTGCTTCCCTTTTCCCTTTCATTTGCACTTTTTTGTCTGCATATTTATCCTTTCCTACGGCCATTTTTGGCTTCATTTCCACTTTTACAGAGCAAGTTTAGCTGACAACCTCACTGGTCACCTCTTGGGTTCCTCCTTTGCTTCGCCCTCAGTGGAGTTGGCCTTCCTCTTGGGCATCATGGCAGTGGGGTTGGGGACCGAGAGCCTTTGAGAACCTGAACTGCCTAGCCATTGCCAGGCCCAACCTGCTTGGACCATGATGGGGTAGTGGGAGAACCCAGGAAATAATTAGGGCACCATTAGTTAAGGCAAAGAAGTTTTCCCATTAAATGGAGTACTTAAACCTCAGGCAAAACTGAAAAAGTTTAGCCTCAATAATTTAAGCATTTAATCCTAAATCTTTCAGCCCTTGGTATGGTATATTGTTTGTAAAATAACAAAAACTTTCTGCAATAGAAATATAAAATATTCTTTTGGTTTAAATTATTAATTTTGTATTTGATTATAGATCGAGGTCTCTGTATGAATATTAGAGATGTATGTAATTTATTTTCTCTTTAACAGGCAGTATATCACAATGTGAAGCCTGCAGCTTTGCAGCAGCAGTTAGAGAACATTCATCTTGCACAAGACAAAGCAGAAGCATTTGTCACTACTTGGTCTTCCATGGGTCAAGAAACAGTCGAAAAATTCAGGCAGAGGATTCTCGCTCCCCACAAGGTATAGGTTATGTTACACCAAAGATATTTTTCAGCAATATGTGGCATAGATTTTTATATCCGAAGAGCTTTTTAATATTTTGTAGAGAGGTACAGTCGGGCAGAAGAGTATATAGACAATATTTCCTGTAAAGTTATTGCCATACATATTTGCTACCACAATGTGATTTAATTTCAGTCTACAGTTTAAAATATGCCTCTATAACTTAAGGATAGGAATGAAAGTTTTTTCCCCCTCTGGGGCCATGGGGTGGGGTGGGTGGCCGAGAGCCTTTGAGAACCTGAACTGCCTAGCCCAGGGGTGGGCAAACTTTTTGACTCGAGGCCCACAATGGGTTCTTAAACTGGACCGGAGGGCCGGAACAAAAGCATGGATCGAGTGTTTGTGTGAACTAATATAAATTCAAAGTAAACATCATTACATAAAAGGGTACGGTCTTTTTTTTTTTTTTTTTTTCAGTTTTATTCATTTCAAACGGGCCGAATCGCCCGCGGGCCGTAGTTTGCCCACGGCTGGCCTAGCCATTGCCTGGCCCAACCTGCTTGGACAGAGTTGGTTCTCTTTTAATTGTGTACCTGCATCTAAGACTCACTGTAATTTTACCGACTCACATACTTACTTGTTTTTCTGTATTAGTGCCTAGCAGAATGTTGTGCATGCAGAAGGTAGCGTAGCCAATATTTGTTGAGTTACAAACAGTGAACAAAATGAATACTTTAGGAAAAATAGAAAGTAACAAAAAGGTCAACAATCTCTTTAGTTACCTTTAGTCACTCTTAATGGAGGTTAAAATGATTGTACAGATCATTTTGCCTTTGTTTTTCTGTGTTAGCATAATTGATTTTCCGATTTTCAGCAAACTTTGTATTCCTGGGTTAATATCACTTGGTCATGATGTATAATCCTTTTTATGTGTTGCTGTATTTGATTTTGTAATAATTTGTTAAACGTTTTTCCATCTGTGTTCATGAGGAATATTAGTCTGTACTTTTATTGTGATGTCTTTGGTGGTATCAGGGTAATACTGGGCTTGTAAAATGAGTTGGAAAGTGGTCTCCTCCCTTTCTCTTTTCTGGAAGTATTTGTGACAGGTTGGTATTATTTTTGCATTTCAGCAGCATTATATAGGAGTTCTAGTAGATCCAAATTCTTGTCAGCACTTGGTATTGTCAGTTGTTTTCATTAAAACCATTGTATTAGGTTTATCATGGTATCTTGTGTTTTTAATTTGCATTTTCCTAATAAGAAATTATGTTGATGATCTTTTTATGTGATTACTTGCCATTGATATTATTTTTTGGTGAAGTGTCTATTCATATCTTTTGTTTAACTATATTTCCACATTATGACAGATAAAGAAGTCCCGTTATAGTAATATAAAGGATGATTACAGGCATGAATCCCAGCATATAGAAATGTATGGTTTTTCTTTCGTTTTTTTTTTTGTTGTTGTTGTTGTTACAATGTGTGGAGGGTATTTGTTTTCTTTCTGTTAAGTTTTGCGAGTTCTTTATATAATCTAGGTGTAAGTTTTTTGTCAGATATGTGATTTACAGATTTTTTTTTCTAGTACATAGCTTTTCATTTTCTTTAGTGTCTTTTGCAGAGCAAAAGCTTTTAATTTCTGATAAAGTTCCATTTATCAATTTTTTCTTTTATTGATCTTGCTTTTGGTTTTGTATCTAATAATTTGTAGCTTAATGTAGTGTCACAAAGATTTTTCTCTTTTGATTTTTTCTAATTGTTTTATAGGTTTATGTTTTACATATAAGTCTAAGGTCCCTTTTGAAGTAATTTTGTATAAGGCATAAGATGCAGGTCAAAGTTCTTTTTTTTTTTGTGCTTATGGATGTTCGTTTTCCCCCCCACATAATTTGTTAATGACATCATTTTGTCACTGACTTGTCTTTGTCCCATGTCAGAATCATTTGACATATTTGTGTGGGTCTTTTTCTGGACTCTCTTTTTGGTTCCATTGATCTATTTGTCTGTCTTTATGCCAATATCACACTGCCTTAATTACTGTAGCTTTGTAGTAAGTCTTAAGATCAGGTATTATGAGTCTGCTTTGTTCTTTTCCATAATTGTTTTGTTTTGTTTTTCTAGTTTCTTTGCACTTTCATATAAACTTGAAAGCCAGCTTCTATATATCTACTAGAGGCCCAGTGCACAAATTTGTGCATGGGTGGGTCCCGTCCCGATCAGGGTTGGGGGGGCTGATCGGAGGTGGGGCCCGCTGGGGGGAAGGGCTGCAGTCGAACTCCTGGTCAAGGGGGCAATTTGCATATTACCCTTTTATTATATAGGATAAAAAATCCTGCTGGGATTTTAATAGATATTATATTTAATTTATAGATCACTTTGTAGAGAAAGGTCTTCTTAACAGTATTGAGTATATCTCGTCATTTTTTTAGGTCCTTTTTTGAAAATTTAAATTCTTTATTGTTTAAAGTAGCAGTCGCCAACCGGTGGTCTGTGGACCACTGGTGGTTTGTGAGGTCCGAAAGGTTGGCAACCACTGGTTAAAGTATTATATATGTTTCCTTTTTCCCCATTGACCTCTCTCCAGCCACTCCCACCCCCCAGCACATTCCCTCACCTCCCTACTGTCTGTGTCCATTGGTTATGCTTATATGCATGCATACAAGTCCTTTGCTTGTTCTCTTACCCCTCCCCACCTCACTCCCCTGCCTTCCCTCTGAAGTTTGATGTTCTGTTTGATGCTTCTCTGTGTCTGGATCTATTTTTGTTCATCAGTTTATGTTGTTCATTATATTTCACAAATGAGTGAGATCATGTGATATTTATCTTTCTCTGACTGGCTTATTTCACATAGCATAATGCTCTCTAGGTCCATCCATACTGTTGTGAATGGTAAGAGTTCTTTCTTTTTTACAGCAGCGTAGTATTCCATTGTGTAGATGTACCATGGTTGTTGTTTTAGGTCCTTTTTTATTTCTCATGTCAGTGTTTGCATTCTTTAGCATACAGAGCCTGCACATTATTTTGTTAGATTTGTACCTAAGTATTTAGTTTTTTTTTTGAGTTGATGAAAATAATACTATTTTTAAAATTTTGTTTTCTAATTGTTCGTTGCTAGTACATACAGACACAATTGATTTTTGTGCAGTATATTGGTCTTGTATTCTATGACTGTGTAAACTCACTAATTAGTTATGGCATTTTTTTGGTGTGGATTCCTTGTGATGTTCTTTGTAGACAGTCATGTTGTCCACGAATAGAGACAGTTTTATTTCTTCCTTCCTAGTCTTTTTAGCTTTTATATATATATATATTTTTTGCCTTATTGCACTGACTAGGACTTTTAATATGATGTTGAATACGAGTGGTATGTCTGAAACAACCTGCTTTGTCCCCAGTTTTGGAGAGAAAGCATTCAGTTTCTCATTAAGTAGGATATTAGCTATAGGTTTTTGGAAAATGCCCTTTGTTTTCATCTCTCTCCATTTCTTTCTTTTTTAAAAACTGCATTCTAAGAGTTCTTAAGTGTCCTCCACATCACTTCTCCATTTTTCATTTCAATTTCTACTTTTTCCTATGTCCTGTAGAGATTTTAAGTTTTCCATTTTGTGTTACTGGAATTCCTTTTTCTTCCAACAATCTCCATTAAAAATAAATCTCTACTTGCCTTTTAGTATTTGCTCGTTCTCTATAATTTTCTGCTATTTTACAGGGTTCATATTTTTACATTGATATAAGGTAGAATTAAAATATTTTTATGCTTCTAACAGTAAGTCATTTTTCAGTATCTTCTAGATCAGTGATGGTGAACCTTTAGAGCTCGGCGTGTCAGCATTTTGAAAAACCCTAACTTAACTCTGGTGCAGTGTCACATATAGAAATTTTTTGATATTTGCAACCATAGTAAAACAAAGACTTATGTTTTTGTTATTTATTTTATATATTTAAATGCCATTTAACAAAGAAAAATCAACCAAAAAAATGAGTTCACATGTCACCTCTGACATGCGTGTCATAGGTTCGCCATCACTGTTCTAGATGATATATATTTTTAAAGTAATACTTCTCCATATTATGTTACATTTATATTAAGTTCTGCTTTAAATGTGGTTTAATCATTTATCATATAAAATGTGCAAAAAGTTGAATGAACATGATTAATTGCATATTGGCCTCTTGAGAATGATGGAAATTACTTTTTGCCAATTTATAGTATATGAGAAGATAGCCAGTACATTATTTTAAATGCTTAATTGAGGTAATATAATAATAGCAAACATTTTTTGTGTTTTTTTTAATACTTTTTTCTTTATTGGTTTAGGTATTACATATGTGTCCTTATTGCCTCATTGCCCCCCGCACCCCCACTCATGCCCTCACCCCCTGTTGTCTGTGTCCATTGGTTAGGCTTTTTTTGTGTTTATTATTGACCAACTACTCCACTAAGTGCTTTATATCTTATAAAACCCATTAATAGTTCTACTTCCTATTTAAAATAAAATCGAGGCTTAGAGAGATTAAATAATTGGTCCATTGTTATGCAGCTAAGTAAGTGGCAGAGTTGGGATTTGACACAAGTAGTCACACTCCTAAGCCATTATATTATACTGGAGGCCCAGTGCATAAAATTCGTGCACTCGGCTGTGGGGGGGTACCTTCAGCCCGGCCTGTGCCCTCTTGCAGTCCAGGAGTCCCGTGGGGAGCTGGCCTAAACCGTCAGTCGGACATCCTTAACGCTGCCACCGTTGCACTCGCCAGCTGTGAGCCTGGCTTCTGGTGCACTGAACAGCAGGGGGCAGTTCCTGCATTGGGCGTCTGCCACCTGGTGGTCAGTGTGCATTATAGCTACCGGTTGTTCCACTGTTCAGTCGATTTGCATATTAGCCCTTTATCATATAGGACTACTGCCTAAATATTACCTGCAAATTTTTCTTTTTGTATCAGACATTATGAAGGGTGGTTTATATGTTTGTGTGGTTCATATTTTTGAAAAGGAAGGAAATAAAACGTTAGAAAGT